CAGAAGCTTATTTTGAAACATTGTTTTGTTTTTGAGACAGTCTTGCTCCGTCACCCAGACTGACTAGAATTATGATCTCAGCTTACTGTAACCTGTCTCCTGGGTTCAAGCAATTCTCCCCCCTCAACCTTCCCAGTAGCTGGGATTATAGGTGTGCATCACCACACCCAGCTAATTTTTGTTTTTTTAGTGGATGTGGGGTTTTACCATGTTAGCCAGGCGCATCTTGAACTCCTGACCTCAAGTGATCCACCTACTTTGGCCTTCCAAAGTTCCTGGATTACAGGCATGAATCACCAGGCCCAGCCAAACATTTAAACATAACAAATTTTCTTGTTTTCTTCACTTTTAAATTATTCTCCTCCTTCAGATCTGGAATTGAGTCATAGTTTGGGCATAGAGCTGAATATAGACCTGGTGACTTCCAATTGTGATACTATCACTTATAGGTAATAGTAATAATAATGATGTGGCAGTAGTAGCCGCAGTGACAGTAGTGGTTACATCTTCTGGGTGTATACTGTGTCTTCACTGAGCTAAATTCTCATCCTATGTGCACTTTCCTTGTTTCTTCCTTTTTAAATTGCCCTTCCCCCAAAACAAAATCTGGAATTGAGACATGATTTAAGTTTAGTGATGAATATAAGACTGGCTTCCTATATTCATGATTCAGAATTAGTGATTTCTAATCCTTATTCTGTCATCCATTAGTGGTGGTAGGAGTAGTAATTGTCGTAATAGTAATTATAAAAATAGTAGCGGTAGTAGTAACAATCTTAGTGTTAACAGCTTTTGGATGTATATTCTGCCTATTCTGTGCTAAATGCTCTTGAGAAATATTGTATTATCCTTTTACAAATGGAAAAATAGAGGCTGAGAAAAAAATGTCAAATAGCTGATGTGGGCAGGGCTGGAGCTCAATGTCCCCTAGCTCTCTGTGCTTCTGGGGTCTGTATGTGCTCTTTGCCTCCACATCACATCAAGCATAACGTTCTCATCTACTTTTTTGGCCCACACAAAAGTCTGGGAACGGATCTTTTTCTTTAAGCTTATGACCTAAAATAGAAGCAACTGATTACTGATATCTCCACTTCTTTGCCCAAGCAACCCTTCAAACACACAATGTGTAATCTCCTATGCATTCCTGTCCTGAAGCTATTGCTCCCACCCTATCCCTTGCCTGGGAAACACTGCCCACTCAATTGCGCTGACGTGTAGCTTGTCATCCCTGAGTGTTCTTTCTCCTGCTTGTACCTCCTGAATTAATCTCTGCACTTGCACTTCACTGCTCTCAACCCCATCACAGCTGACCTCCTAGTGGCGGCCCCTGTATGTCTCACCTGGACTGCAGACACATTCCAGTTGCTCTTTCTGTCCCAGCCTGGCCTCCCTCCAATCCTTTCAGCAAGTACTATGCACCTTCGCCCACCTGTACATCCTGCACTCCTATGCCCACTGTCCCACATGGATTCCCTTCTGTTCAACCCGAAGTCTTAGTTTAGAAGTTACCACTTCTGAGACCCCTCCTCCGACCCCCATAATTCTGGGTTATGTGTCCTTTCTCCTCTTCATAGCCTTGACAGCCCTATGTGAGGCAGAGGTTGCAGTGAGCTAAGATAATGCCACTGTAGTCCAGCCTGGGTGACACAGCCACATCCTGTCTCAAACAAACAAATTCACCCTCCCAAAGAAATGATCATACTAGACATTTTATAAAGCAAATGGTACAGCCACTGCTATCTAATTCGCAATGATCTCTGAAATTTACTTGAAAAAAATCAAACTAGCATTCTTGCCTCTGGGCACTGTGTTCTAATGTGGAGTTAATTACCCTCCACCATAGAGTCTTGTGGAAACATTATTAGCCTTCTTTGTACATTTGTCTATCTGCTGACAACAAATGGCCAGAGGGCTTCATGTGAAACTAGATATATGAGGAAGAAAATACTCTAGAACTTCATGTATAGTACAATAGCCTCTGGCCACATGTGACTACTGATTACTTTAAATGTGGCTAATCTGTATTGAGTAGGCTGTAAGTATAAAATATATACCAGATTTCAAAGACTTAGTAAAAAAATCATTGATATTTTATAATTATCACATGTCAAAACAATTTATAGATATATTGGCTTAAATGTGTCATTAAAATTAATTCCATGTTTGTTTTTACTTTTTTAATGAGAAAATTTAAAATTAGTATATGGCTTGCATTTTTGGTTTGGGTTATATTTTTGCTGGACAGGCTACACACAAAAAAATTTCAGGCCGAGTGCAATGGCTCACCCCTGTAATCCCAACACTTTGGGAGGCCAAGGTGAGTGGATCCCATGAGGTCAAGAGTTTAAAACCAGCCTGGCCAACATGGCGAAGCCCCATCTCTACTAAAAATACAAAAATTAGCCGGGTGTGGTGCTGGGCGCCTGTAGTCCTAGCTATTCAGGAAGCTGAGGCAGAATTGATTGAACCCGGGAGGCAGAGGTTGTAGTGAGCTGAGATTGTACTACTGCACTCCAGCCTGGGCAACAGAGCAGGACTGTGTCTCAAAAAAATAAATATAAAAACATTGCAGATTCCAAAAAATATTAAATCCAAAACGTATCCCACAAACTTGAGAGTAGTACACAGGGTCAGATTCTAAACACCTAAAGGTGGCGTTGGTCTCCTAAGTTTCAGAGCTTTAAGTAGGGAGGTCTAGGCTCCATCCTGGTATGTCCTAATGTTGTTTGATTGGATAGCTTTATGGTCTAATAGAGCAAGTAGAATTTACCAAAATCTTTCCCTTTTCTGTGTCTCTTCCAAAGATCTATGAATTCATTTTTAGCATAAGAGCCCTGACGTTGCCCTAGTTGAAACTGGGAGGTGATGGAAGAGGGGTCTAACTCCATTAAGAGCCCCATAGGTCTGCTATTGAGGTTTTTATGAATCCAGCCAGCAAAAAGGGACACCTTGTTTCTTTCTTTTTTTTTTGAGATGAAGTTTCACTCTTGTGTCCCAGGCTGGAGTACAATGGTGTGATCTCAGCTCACTGCAACCTCCACCTCCCGGGTTCAAGTGATTCTCCTGCCTCCGCCTCCTGAGTAGCTGAGATTACAGGGGTGCACCACCACGTCCAACAAATTTTTGTATTTTTAGTAGAGCTGAGGTTTTGCCATATTCGCTCAGTTGGTCTTGAACTGACCTCACGTGATCCACATGCTTTAGCCTCCCAAAGTGCTGGGATTACAGGCGTGAACCACTGCACCTGGCCAACATCTTGTTTTGTAACCTAGAGTCCTTTAGGGATTTGAGAGTAGCAGGGGAGCAACAGTAATATGAATAAAAGTAATACAGCTGGAGTTCCCTATTATAGTGGTTTTTCTGCATGTTTCTCATTTTATTTGATAATTTTTGTCCAAATAAGTACATGTAATAGACCATATTTTTGCACATTCAGCAAATACTTATTGAGTACCAATTCTGGGCCTGGCACTATTCTAGCTCCTAGAGACACTTCAGTGAATAAAACAGGGCAAATGGAACTGGCCTTCTAGAGACATACCCTAATGCTACGTTGTAAATCAGAGGGCTATCACATTGTGTATGATACATGATGTGTCAAGTTAACCTTTGACTCGTAAGATGTTTTATCTCCTCAAAGGACTTCAGAGTTTGCCCTCTTGCTTTCATTATGTTTATTTTTCCTCCAGAAAGGGGGAAAGGGGGTATGTGTGATGTAAAAGGAGGGAGGCAACAACTTATAGACTCAATGCTTTTTCTTTTCTTAGTTTACATTGAACAGGTAATTTTCTCCCACAGGAACCCTAGGTATGGAAACAGTTTACTAATTGGAAGTGACTTCACTGCTGTAATTACAGTGATTTTGGAAGTTAATTTTAATCAAAATATGCATCTTACTCTGTAAGATTAAGTACTTTGACACTCAAATATAGGTACTACAACATGGAAAAAATATATAGGAAAAACTTGCTACATTTTAAAAAGTGTTATTTAAATTCTAGAGGATTTTTAGCACTAACAAAGAAGATAGCACTTCGTTAGCTTTCATCCATTGGTTTTAATGTTTTATATCAAGGGGCAGCAATTTATGACAAGCATGTCACAGAGATACTTAGCTGCATGGGACCAAGTATACTTAATCCTCTACTAACAGTACTCTTGCTCCCTCCTTTTTTTTGAGACAAAGTCTCACTCTTGTTGCCCAGGCTGAAGTGCAATGGCATGATCTTGGCTCACTGCAACCTCTACCTCCCAGGTTGAAGCGATTCTCCTGCCTCAGCCTCCTGAGTAGCTGGGATTACAGAAATGTGCCACCACGTCCAGCTAATTTTTTGTATTTTTAGTAAAGATGGGGTTCCACCAAGTTGGCCAGTCTGGTCTTGCACTCCCGACCTCAGGTGATCTGCCCGCCATGATTTCCCAAAGCCTTGGGATTACAGGCATGAGCCACTGCATCTGGCTTTCTATTTTTCCTTTATTTTCTTTTCTATTTCCCCTTTATAAGAGCTAGATGCATAGCCGCATTTCACTTCAAAGGAATCTACGGAGTACGCATTTATGTGTCTGAGCATCTGTGACCCTTTCTGTCTCCACCTCCAGGATAAATGAGGAGTGGAAGTTTATACCATTGCTATTATAGCACTGTATCAGCTCTCTTTTATTATTCTTGGTTCCCTATTCTGTAAAAGAAATCCATACTATTAATTAATGTGTTAAATTTCCTATAACTAGAGAACCATTTTGGTTTTGTAAAGAATAGGAAATTGCCTCTTAATTTACCTTTGTCTTCAATAGGTTTCTTTTTACCTAAAGAGAAGTTATTTCTGAGGCTGACTTATATCTTTTATGATTCCGTATGAAAAGGAAGTTGAACATCTTGTATAGCATTTCATCTCATTGAACTTTTCCACCGGTGAACAAGAACTTTAGTTACTGAATAATTTTAAACATCTTTGATATCTGCTTGCATTTTTACATTAACATTGTAATATCTTTTTCAGGTTTTCAATTCAAAAACAGCTGAACTACTTAGTCATCATCAAGTGGAAATAAAACAAGAGTTTCCAAGAGAAGGGTATGTTTCCTAATTTAATATGTAAAGACACATTATGTTTGTTAGTTCATCTCACCCGACTTGCCCTGTGGATTTGTTAAGTTAACTTGACCAGACACCCTCCTGAAAAGATTTGAGAGGTTGTTATTAGTTAAGAAAATATGCAATAACTTGCTATATCTTACATGTGATGAATTGATGGCTTAGGAATTCAGTTACATACAAGCAAGGAATAATAAAGTAATAAAGCAAAAGTATTAACTTTGAAGTCATTTAGTTCTGCGTTCCTATTATTGCAAAAATGCTGCTTTGCTGATTTCAGGGTCAGGTTTGTTTTATAATAAAGGTATCTGTACTGGACCCCAAACAATAAAATAGAAAAAAAAAACAAAGGTATCTGTTTTTTAAAAAGTATTCACATATCTTATCATCTAATACTAAAATCATATTTTTGGGAATAGTATTCATACATAGTAATTGTGATTAAATATAATGTTAAGTATATTATTTAAAATTTAATGATGCTTATGATATAACCACTTTGAAAAAACTGTGTTGCAGTTTCTCGCAAAGCTAACCATACACCTGCAGCATTTCACTCTTAGAAATTTACCCAAGAGGATAAAAGCATATGCCCATTGAAAGACTTGTGCATGAATGTTTATAGCTCCTTTATTAAAAGTAGCCCCAAACTGGAAACAACCCAAATGTCTGTCATCAGTACAATGGATAACAATGGAATACCATTTTAGTAATTTTAAAAAAGTTAACAGATACTTGCAACAATATGAGAGAATGTCACTGGAATTATGGAAAATGAAAAAGTTGGATACAAAAGAGTATGTACTGCATGACTCCATTTATCTGAATTTTGGTTTTTTTGAGAAGGAGTCTTGCTCTGTCACCCAGGCTGGAGTACAGTGATGCGATCTCAGCTGACTGCGACCTACATATGCCTCTCAGGTTCAAGCGATTTTCCTTCCTCAGCCTCCCGAGCAGCTGGGATTATAGGCGCACGCCACCACACCCAGCTAATTTTTGTATTTTTAGTAGAGATGGGGTTTCACCATATTGGCCAGCTGGTCTTGAACTCTTGACCTCATGATCCACCCACCTCGGCCTCCCAAAGTGCTGGGATTACAGGTGGGACTGGCCTTATCTGAAATTTAATAATAGTCTTAACTAGTCTAGGATGATAGGAATCAGAAAAGTGGTTGTCTGTGAGGTGTGTGATTCACTTGAAAGAAGCATGAAAGAACTTTCTGGGATGCTGGAAATATTTTGTATCTTGACTAGGGTGATGGTTAGATGGGTATTTCCTTTTGTCAGAACTCAGCAAATTGTGCGCTTTAGATCTGTGCATTTCACTGTAAAGTTTACCTCAATTTAAGAAAGAGAAAAAAATTGACGTCTTACCAAATTGTATTGTCTTCTTCACGTGAAAAAATGTTCTATTTTATAGTTCCTTTGTTTAATAATCTAAGTTATTGATACATTAGCAGCATTAGCATGACCGTCCACAAGCCCGAGCCCAGTGCAGTTTGTAAAAAGGATACCTGAATCTTGGCTAGATGAAAATTATAAATACACAGAAGGAGACTGGGTTTTCAAAAAGAAGTTAGAGACTGGCCAGGTGCGGTGGCTCACGCCTGTAATCCCAGTACTTTGGGAGGCTGCAATGGGCGGCGGATCACGAGGTCAGGAGTTCAAGACCAGCCTGACCAACGTGATGAAACTCCCATCTCTACTAAAAATACAAAAATTAGCTGGGCATGGTGGCACATGCCTGTAATCCCAGCTACTGAGGAGGCTGAGTCAGTACAATCACTCGAATCCAGGAGGTGGAGGTTGTGGTGAGCCAATGTGTCACCACTGCACTCCAGCCTGGGCAAGAGGGAGACCCCATCTCAAAAGAAAAAAAAAAAGAAGTTAAGGACAGAATTCAAAGCCCAGGAAAGGGAAGCATTTAGGTAGGCCTGAGAAAGAGAAGAAAGGCAGTTGGAATTCCTTTGCAACTTCCGTATCCTAGGTTAGAATCATTTTAGTTTGCATTATTTCCACTTTTGGACTTCCTCAAATTACCATATTTCTCCTAGGCTTCTCACTCTTCTAATTTACAATTAGTCTTTCATCCTTCTGAGTCCCTGGTACCTTACCAAAATTGTACTGAGATTAGGTCTGAGAACTTGGACCAATCACTTATCTACATGAAATAGAATAAGTTTTAGATTTTCCCCGAAATTCCAAAAAAACATTTTGGGAAAAAAGTAGCATAAAGGAATAGTATACTTATTTGACTTTTCAGAATTCCTTTTGCTCTCAAATATATTATTCTCAAGAGTAATAAATATATTTCTGTCTACTTAGAAATAACCAGTGATTTGTGAAACGTGCAGATAATCAAAATTAATTAAATCCACAGGATATAAAGAAGGGTAACTAATTTCTTTTCTTATTGGACTTGGAAAAATTATTATTTTTTATTTTATTTTATTTTTGAGATGGAGTTTCGCTCTTGTTACCCAGGCTGGAGTACAATGGCGCGATCTCAGCTCACCGCAACCTCCGCCTCCTGGTCTCAGGCAATTCTCCTGCTTCAGCCTCCTGAGTAGCTGGGATTACAGGCATGTGCCACTATGCCCAGCTAATTTTTTGTATTTTTAGTAGAGACGGGGTTTCACCATCTTGACCAGTATGGTCTCGATCTCTTGACCTTGTGATCTACCTACCCGCCTCAGTCTCCCAAAGTGCTGGGATTACAGGCGTGAGCCACCACGCCCGGCCTGAAAAAATTATTTTAAAATAGGTAGATATTTGCTGTTTGTGGCTTGCTATTAGTGGCCTCCTTGAATATGATTAATTACTATGTGGAGAATAATAAAATTGTAAGGAAATAGGCTTTTCTTGAAATCGTTTCTTTAAAATGTGGAATGTTATTTGCTATCTGATTTATTTTAGTGTATGCACCAGCCACACCCTCATAAATTAACATTTCCATAGAAAAAAGTTACATTTGTTTTGCCTTCTTACTGATTAACCAAATGCCTTCTTTTGTTCAAAGATGGGTGGAACAGGATCCTAAGGAAATTCTGCATTCTGTCTATGAGTGTATAGAGAAAACATGTGAGAAACTTGGACAGCTCAATATTGATATTTCCAACATAAAAGGTATTTTAATAAAATATTTTACTCACATGGTATGATTCTCTTAATCAAATTCATTAATTTATTCTTTCAGCTTATAATTGAGTGCCTATTCAGTGCCAAACATTTCTGGGAGAACTTGAGGATGCAACACTAAACAGGAAGATTTAAGTTGTCCTCATGGAGACTTTATTTGGATGGGGACAAGATAATAAGAGCAGACAAATATAATTTCAAATACTAAAAAGTTCCATCCACAAACTAAAAACCAAGTGGTATGGTGGATTGTGTGTAGAAGGGCTTGCTTTAGATTAGGTGGCCAGGAAAAGCCTTTCTGAGGATGTGACACTTTTGCTGAGATCTCAAAGGGCAAAAGGGGTCAGCCATGCAAGTTTCTAGAATAGTGTTTGAGGAAAAGGATGTAGCACATGCAAAGGCTCTGAAGTAGGAATAAGCCTGGGACATTTCTGGGTTGAAAAGAAGGCCAGCATGTCAAAAGAAGACTAAAAATGTTGAGCAGTGAGAGTGGGTAGAGGGTTTTAGTAGGAGATCAAATTGGGGAAGTGGGTTGGGCCTCATCAGCCATATTTAGGATTTTGGATATTATTCTTAGTATCATAGGGAGCCATGAAAAAGGTAAATAAGGTGACAAGGGATGACTTGCAATATAAAGGCAACTTTCTGGCTGCTGTGTAGAGAGTGGATGGTAAAGGCATAAGTGTGGATACAGGGAGACCAGTGTGGAGGCTGCTATGGAAGTCCTAGAGAAGATGGTGGCTTGATCTATAATGGTAGCAGTGGAAGTGGAGAGAAAGGGCCAGAATTTGCTGATAGACTGGATGTTGGGGTATCAGAGAGAGTAGTGGGGTTGAGAGAAGAGATTGGTTAAAGGTGATGCTTGGGTTTTTGCCAGAGGTCTTGGATAGATAAGGATACCTTTCACTAAGGAGAGAAAGACTAGAGGAAGGAGTATGTTGTGGGAAGGGGTATTTGGAATCCAAACTCTTCACTTGTAAAATTTCCCTGAAATAATTGCTTGAGGGTGTTAGATTGTTATAGATTTCTCTGTGAAGTTCTAGTAGTTTTAATTGAATATCTACATTTGACCTTTCATCATTCATATAGGAAAAAAAAATCTAGCCACCCAAGATTGATATAAGAGCATAAAAGGTAGAAGCATAATGTGGAAGTTTGCTGTCTACTTTATAGCCCAAAATTTTCAAGTTCACCATTCAAGGGCTATTTTTTTCCTCTTTAGGTAGTTTGGCTATAGATAGAGCAACCATCAATTGGTGGTGGTGCCTTGATTGCCATCATCTTGGCTTTGATACTTACCATAACTCCTGAGCCTTTCCCCTATTTATATAAATTAGAACTCACTTTAAAAAAAGACTACAAATCCACAGAGTCCTACTATGTGCTAGATGTGCTAATGATACAATGGAGCTAATGCTCAAGCATGGAAAACATGTTACTCTGATAATCATAAATAAATGGAAATGCATAACAGTAATAGAGTTATTTCTGTTATTGCAGTTTTTTTTTTTTTGAGATGGAGTCTTGCTCTGTTGCCCAGGCTGGAGTGCAGTGGTGTGATCTCAGCTCACTGCAACCTCCGCCTTCCAAGTTCAAGCAATTCTCTTCCTCAGCCTCCCGAGTAGCTGGGACTACAGGCAAGCTACTTTTCATATTTTTAGTAGAGACAGCGTTTCACCATATTGGTCAGGCTGGTCTCAAACTCCTGACCTCGTGATCCGCCCACCTCGCCCTCCCAAAGTTCTGGGATTACAGACTTGAGCTACCATGCCCAGCCTATTGCAGATTTTTTAAAATTACAATTTGAAATTTTATCAACAACTTTTACTATCATGCACATGTTAAACCTTTCCTCCTTTTGTCCCTACATCTAAGTGGAAGGGCTTCAAATTTGCTTTAGGGTTGCAGTACTGAACTTTAGATTAGTTGTGCATTAGTGATTGTTGTTGATAATTTCTTTGGGCTGTTCTTGCAGTTCTCACAGTCTAAGCAGTGCAAACAAATAATAGGCATTCAGTAGCACACTCCTGTCAAAATTACCAAAGACATAGATAATCCAGGCAGCTTAAAGCCATATCCAGAATGTAGAGTCCAGGGTGACTGACCATGGCTTTGACATTATTCTACCTCCCTTACAGGTAAGCTAGGCTGTGGTATGTTAGCTTTCTGGACCCCGTTGGGTGCTATTCCTTTTTCTCTTGTTTTTATGGTTTATGTGAAGATGACGCACAACTCCAGCCCAAGTGACTTGTCTTCCACTTGCACTACCTGGTCTAAGAATTGAACAGGCAGCTTCTCTATACTCCTCTGTGTCTGGCCAGTGTGAAGCCCACATCTGAGCCAAAGTGACCCAGCACTTCCATCTCTACAGCTACCACCCTCTGGCCACAGAAGAGAACATCCCATGAGCTCCTCCATACCAGGCCAGTTCTGCTAATCTTTTTCCCAGAAAATTATCCAGTTGGCAATGCCAAGGGCCAGGCTTTTGCTTGCCTGTATAGAATTCTAGATCACAGACTGTTAAAGCTGTAAAGGAGGTTGGGCATGGTGGCTCACACCTATAATCCCAGCATTTTGGGAGGCAAAGGTGGGTGGATCACCTGAGGTTAGGAGTTCAGAACCAGCCTGGCCAACATGATGAAACCCTGTCTCTACAAAAAATAAAAAAAATTAGCTGGCTGTATTGGCAGGCACCTGTAATTCTAGCTACTCAGGAGGCCGAGGCAGGAGAATTGCTTGAACCCAGGAGGCAGAGGTTGCAGTGAGCCAAGATCACACCACTCCAGCCTGGGCAACAGAGCAAGACTCTGTCAAAAAAAAAAAAAAAGAAAGGAGAGAGAGAGAGAGAGAGCGAGAGAGAGGCCTGGCACAGTGGCTTACGCCTGTAATCCCAGCACTTTGGGAGGCCAAGGTGGGCGGATCACCTGAGGTCAGCATTTCAAGACCAGCCTGGCTCACATGGTGAAACCCTGTTTCTACTAAAAATAGAAAAAATTAGCCAGGCATGGTGGCACATGCCTGTAATCCTAGCTACTCAGGAGGCTCAGGCAGGGGAATCGCTGAGGTGCCTTCCTGAAACTCCATTCATGTGATAGACGCAAAACACAACATAAACTGTTTCAAAATTAAGAACATAAAATTCTCAGAGATTAGATTATCTTGTATCTAAAGCAATTATTTCCCTGTTAGAGGAAAGGGAAACCCACACATCCATTCCTGCAGTGCCTTGTCCTACCCAACATATTCACATACATTTCTACCACCTCTTAGACTCATACTCTCAGAGACCTCAGGGGGTTTTAGGAAGGCACCTCATTCTCCAAAATGTTTCCAGCAGCAGCTACACCTCATCATCTCATTTGCAAGTTTTCTAACCTCAAGTACCCATCTTCCAGAGTCTGTATATATATAGATAGATAGATAGATAGATAGATAGATAGATAGATAGATAGATAGATAGATGGGGTTTCTCCATGTTGGTCAGGCTAGTCTCAAACTCCCGACCTCAGGTGATCCACCCACCTCTTCCTCCCAAAGTGCTGGAATTACAGGCGTGAGCCACTGCACCTGGCTTCAGAGCCTGTTTTAAAAATCTTTGTCTCTCTTCCCACATGGTATTACTTTTTGTAGCCAGAGAACCTTCCTCTGAAGCTATTATTTTGCTCTGTGTGTTTTTAGTTTTCTCCCAAAAAATGTGTTATAATTGTACATTATGATTTTAATTTTAAAAAATGATGCATCTTATCCATCATTCTACCAAGACAACAATTATTAACATCCTGGAGTATTTTCAAAGGCTCTTTTTTCTAAGGTATATTTTCTTAACTGCAATTATAACTTTTCAGAGATACTTTTAAGAAAAATTTAACCAGAGATTTTGAGTGTAGCTTTTAACTAGTTTAATTTTACTACTGGCACTCAGTGTAGAGAAAAGTATCCCCAAAAAAGAATATGTGGGTAAAGTATGAAGCTGGTAAATGCAAGAGCAATACAGTATATGATAATGGTTATGATATCCATAAATGAAAGATTTTGAGGCTAGGTAATATATGTTTTATGCATGTAACTTTCATATTATCTGAAATGGTGCACATGAAGTAGAGTGGAGAATTATAAAACCAGAATGTGTTATTCTAAGAAAGAAGGAATTAAAATTAGGAACCATTAGGAATGGCACATGTGCTGAGACTAACAGTCGGAAATGTTTTCTTTAAAAAACAGAGGATTTTAGGGTGGAAATGACAAGACACTTGAACATTGAAAAAATTCAGAGCTATCATGTAAGACTTGTGTGCCCTGGGGAGAAACAGATAATAAAGACATGTTTGTGGCTGGCAGAGAATCCTGGAAAGCTACTTCACTGGACTTTGTCTGCAGGCAAAGCACTTTTACTTGGCATGAAGGAATCCAATTAAGATAGAAGAGAAGGAAGGAATGCCCAGGGAGGAACTCTGACTGTAGAATCAGATTGAAATCGGTCTAGATTAGATTCTGAAGATAAGTTAGAATGAGCCAGTAAAGATAGGTAACATGAGAGACATAGAATAGCGACTTAAGGATTGTGAATAAGAAAGCAGCCAGCTTATTTATGGTAAAATTATCATAGTGAGGAGGAATAGGAGATTTTTGTTGACCATGAGTTCATTGTGATCCCACGCTGTAAAGTTGTCACACACACACACACAAAATCACATTCACAATATGTTCTGATAGAGCTGCTGCAGAATTCCTTTATTTGCCCTGCTTAGCTCAGTCCCATTCTCTGAAACTGTTACTCCACTCTCTTCTCAATAATGATGACCATGGTAGCAGCAGTAGTAACATTTATTGAGTGCTTGCTGTATGCCAGGCATCTGTTGTAATATACATTGACTTCTCACTGTTAACCCTGATTCCTCACTGTAACCCTGTAAAATTGGAACTATTATTCTCTCCCTTTCACAAGACACAAAACTGAGACCCAGAGTCACGCTGCTAGGAAGAATAGGAATTGGAATTTGAATCCCATCTATCTGGCCTCAGAGCCCGAGGTTTACTGAATAATGCCTCAAACTCTCACCCCGTTTTGACAGACAACCTTACCTCCTGCAAGTTGAGCCTCTGTGGCCTTAAATCTTCAACTTCCTGTTCCCGTGCTTAATATCTGGAACTCCTGCCAACTTTCCTTCATCACAAGGGCAGCAATAGCCTTCTGCCCTACTTGGAGCTCCTCCCTCCACTTGTGCTGGTAATCCATCCTCTCCTGTCACTACATCAGTCAGAACCAAGTCACCATTGATTCCCAGCCCCCCATCTTTCCCTTCATACTCCTTTTCTTCTTCTTCCTTTTTTTTTTTTTTTAGACAGAGTCTTGCTCTGTCGCCAGGTGCCAGGCTGGAGTGCAGTGGCATGATCTTGGCTCACTGCAACCTCCACCTCCCGGATTCAAGCAATTCTCCTGTTTCAGCCTCCTGAATAGGTGGGATTACAGGCACATGCCACCATGCCCAGCTAATTTTTGTATTTTTTAGTAGAGACGGGGTTTCACCATGTTGGCCAGGATGCTTTCGATCTCTTGACCTCATGATCCACCCACCTCGGCCTCCCAAAGTGCTGGGATTACAGGCTTGAGCCACCGCGCCCGTCCCCTTTCTCTTCTTTATTTACTTTTATAAACATTTTAGTCTTACCCAGAATCTCTTCCCTGTACTCTATGCCTCAAAATTTCTTTGGAGAAGAATCTCAATTGTCTTTGGGGTACAGATCCCATCACCCAGGTAGTGAGCATACCACCCAATAGGTAGTTTTAGAAAAGATGTTAAATAAAGTAAGTCAATCTGCATTGGATAAATAGTATTAGAACAAGGGAGCTGATGGATCCCCCTCAGCTCTGTGCTGGTTAGAACATTCCTAGAGTATTGTGTTTTGTTCTGGGTGTACAATTTGAGTGATGTGGACATGTAATTACATGTTTGTAGGCGTGATGATAAAGGGACTTTAAACCATGTTGTGCTTAGGCGGGGTCAGTTGAAGGAAATTGGATTGTTTAGCCTAGACAGCAGAAGAGAAGACTTGAGGTACAAAAGAGCTGCTTCAAGTTTTTGGAAGACTGGCATGTAGAAGAAGGATTACCCTTATTCTATATATCTCCAAAGAATATGGCTAAGATCAGGAGGTGGAAGCTACACAGAAAATGAGTTTTATTGATTAATTTTTTTTTTGAGACAGGGTCTCACTCTGTTGCCCAGACTGGAGTTTCGGTGACATCATCATAGCTCACCTCAACCCTGCAATCCTGGGCTCAAGCAGTCCTTCTAAGTAGCTGAGACTACAGGCATGCACCACCATACCTCCCAGTTGTTTTTTCATTTTTGTTGTAGAAACAAGGTCCCATTATGTTGCCCAGGCTAGTCTTGAACTCCTGGGCTTAAGGAATCCTCCTGAGTAGCTAGGACTAAAGGAACTCACCAGCACACCTGGATTTTTTTTTTTTTTTCTGAGATGCAGTCTCACTTTGTCACCCAGGCTGGATGGCAGTGGCACAATCTCAGCTCACTGCAACCTCTGCCTTCTGGGTTCAAGCGATTCTCCTGGCTCAGCCTCCTAAGTAGCTGAGATTACAGGTGCATGCCACCACCCCAGCTAATTTTTTGTATTTTTAGTAGAGACAGGGTTTTACCATGTTGGCCAGGCTGGTCTTGAGCTCCTGACCTCAGGTGATCCACCCGCCTCAGCCTTTCAAAGTGCTGGGGTTACAGGTGTGAGCCACTGCACCATGCCTCTGACTAATTTTTAAAAAATTTTTTATAAAGTCTTGGTCTCACAACATTGCCCAGGCTGGTCTTAAACTCCTGGGCTCAAGCAATCCTCCTGCCTCAGTCCCCTGAGTGGCTAGTAAGTACTACAGTTGTACACTACCACATCTGGCTAATTATTTTATTTTTTGTAGAGATGAGGTATTGCTACATTTTCCAGTCAGGTGGATTTACAAAAAAAAAGAAAAAACCCACCAAAGTTGTCCGATAGAGATTGCTCTGCCTTGAGAGATGTAGTGAGTGTCGTTACTAGAAATGCTGTCTGGATGGTCATGACAGGTGATTCTAGAGAAGATTTGAGCTTAAGAAGTATTGTTGGTTATACAGACTTTAAGGTCTGTCCTAATCTTAAATTCTGGAAGAGCTGGATCCTTTAGCCCAGTGTGTTCCACCCAGGATGCACATTAGAATCATCTGGGGAAATTTTAGGAACCCATACCAACACTCATATCCCATCTCCCAGTTCAGTTAAATTGGAATGTTTTGACCAGGGCTTTGACATTGGTTGTTTTTTTTTTTTTTTTTTGAGACAGAGTCTCACACAGTTGCCCTAGCTGGAGTGCAGTAGTGCAATCTTGGCTCAGTGCAACCTCCGCCTCCAGGTTCAAGCAATTCTCCTGCCTCAGCATCCCAGGTAGCTGGGATTACAGGAACCCGCCACCACATCCAGCTAATTTTTAAATATTTTTTAGTAGAGATGGGGTTTCACTATGTTGGCCAGGATGGTCTCAAACCCCTGACCTCATGATCCGCCTGCCTCAGCCTCCCAAAGTCCTAAATTACAGGCATGAGCCACTGCGCCTGGCTGGACATTGGTATTTTTTAAAAGTTCCTCAGTTGATTCTAAAGTACAGTCAAGTCTGAAAACCTCCGATTTAGCTCAACCAAGTTGAATTGAACAGTATAGTGTGGGTTAGTGTTTACTTAATAGTAACTTACACTACATACAGTGCTTGTTTTATGTAAGTCGATATCATGTAAATGCCATTATGTAATATGTTTATGCCTTAAATTCTTATGTATTGTGACATATTATTAAAACACATGAATAAAACTGAATTCCTAACAAGCCGTCACATAAGGATGCTCAGCACGAAGGATTTTGTCCATAGCTATTTTCTTAGAATGTAGATATGCACATACACACACACACGCACACACGCACACACAAATGCACACACAAAGGGAGGGAAATTTCTTGTAGCAATTGGTAAACAAATGAATAAGTTGATTATTGGTCTGTTCAGAATCGTAAATTGGGTATTACAAATTTGCAAAGTGATTGCATTCCTTAAAGCAACCAGTGTGTCTTTTATTTGGGTATTGATCTGGGTCCATGTCATTGGGTGCTAGTAGTAAAGCCAGAAGGAGTATGTAGAAATGGAAAGAAACACTTGGCATTGGGTATTGACTTTCTCTGGAGCCACTACAAGAAAATAAACTAATACAACTACAAATGTTTCAAATATTTTATTGACTTGTTATGTTTAGTTGTGTCTATAAGCAAAGATGAGAGCTATTCTCCTGAAGTAGTTTTCTACCTGTTAAATTGTTGACTTCTTTCTGTTTAACTTTCTCTTTAAAGCTATTGGCGTCAGCAACCAGAGAGAAACAACTGTAGTCTGGGACAAGTTAACTGGAGAGCCTCTCTACAATGCTGTGGGTAAGCTATCATGCATGGATCTCAAATGTAGGTCCTTTCTTCACATTGCAAATGTGGTCATATTAAAATATCTTGCTAAAAAAGAATGCAGTCATATTCCCTATAATCTGATGGGATGGGCAGAAGAGTCCTCTAAGAAATTAACTGTTGTATATTTACAGTTTTTGGATCATATATATTCACATATTGAATTAACTCTCTCATGCTCTCTCCTCTTGCTGATTGTCTTACAAATGGGTGAATTTTGCCAAATTGCTTTATAACCCCTGCTATTTGTGACATCTAAAAGAGATCTTACCTCCTTACCCTCAAAAAATTAAAATTACATATGTTCATAGTAATTTTTCTATCAAGTTCTTGTATGTTTATCTTTCCATCTAGGAATTTGAATTACTCTTCTAAGGTTGTAAAAATAGAATATCTGAATTTTAGCTGCTTCTGCTATAAATGTGGCTATTTGAGCAGGAATTAATAAAACCCAAATCTCAAATATACCGCTTTTAGATATTATATCTTATTAGATGTAATTGATCCTGAGTATATTTTAGCATCATTATTAGCATATGACAGTTGGTGAACACTGAATGACACTACCACTTCCTAAAAGGCAAATTTTGTTCTAAATTACAATCACTAAAAGACTTCATTGTGTCAAATTGCAAAGCACAATTTTTTTTAATCAATAAAATACTAGGTTGTGGGATGGGGAATGGAATCAGAAATGATCAGAGAGGGGATAATTTTGGGGGAATAATCTTTATGAAAAGTTAAGGTATTTAATGTTTTTGTATTATAAGAAAGCATTTAGTATGTTTTCTGTATTTATAATAAATATTAAATTCTCAAAAAGTTTCAAAGAATTACAACCAAAGATCCTTTTAGTACATCTTTGTGTGTGTGTGTGTGTGTGTTTAATTTCTTTTTTTTGAGACTGAGTTTCACTCTTGTTACCCAGGCTGGAGTGCAATGGCACAATCTCGGCTCACTGCAACCTCCGCCTCCTGGGTTCAGACAATTCTCCTGCCTCAGCCTCCCGAGTAGCTGGGATTACAGGCATGCACCACCATGCCCAGCTAATTTTTTTGTATTTTTAGTAGAGACGGGGTTTCACCATGTTGACCAGGATGGTCTCGATCTGTTGACCTCGTGATCCACCTGCCTCAGCCTCCCAAAGTGCTGGGATTACAGGCGTGAGCCACTGCGCCCGGCCCCTTTTTTAATTTCTTGAGACAGAGTCTTACTGTTGCTCAGGCTGGAGTGCAATGGCACAACCTTGGCTCACTGCAACCTCTGCCTCCTGGGTTCAAGCGATTCTCCTGCCTCAGTCTCCTGAGTAGCTGGGATTACAGTCACCCACCACCAACCCTAGCTATTTCGTTTTCTTTCTTTTTTTTTTAATATATATTTTTAGTAGAGATTGGTTTCACAATATTGGCCAGGCTGGCTTGAACTCCTGACCTCAAGTGATCCACCCGTTTCAGCCTTTCAAAGGGCTGGAATTACTGGCCTGAGCCAATATGCCAGGCAAAAGCACATCTTTTAAATGTTTATTTTGTTCTCATTCTCATGAGTAGTTCATTTTGAATGTAAGTAAAACAGAGTATTTAATGGCTAGTACTTAGCAGAGTATCCTTTCATAGTTCACTGTTAGCTAACTTCCTGAACTAGTTAAGGTTTTACTTTCTTTTGTTTTCTCAATGAAAGGAAGAGCCTACTCAGGCAAACCAGAAAGTTCCAGTTAAATTCTGAGCTTTTTGTTTTGTTTTGTTTTGACACAGAGTCTTTCTGTTTTACCCAGGCTGGAGTGCAGTGGCAAGATCTTGGCTCACTGCACCTCCTGGGTTCAAGTAATTTTCGTGCCTTGGCCTGCTGAGTAGCTGGGATTATAAGTGTGCACCATCACGTGTGGCTAATTTTTATATTTTTAGTAGAGATGGGGTTTCACCAGGCTGGTTTCAAACTTTTGATCTCAAGTGATCCGTCCGCTTTGGCACACCTAGCCAGTTCCAGTTAAATTCTAAACATTAAATTGTAAAAATACAAATTGGACTTTGAATTGTTATTTTTCAAATAATGCAACTAGGTAAGCTGAAGTTATGCTTACGGTAAAGATTTAAGTAAATGTTTTACTAGAAAATCTTTCTGTCCTGTGCTTATTTATTTTCTTTTCTTCTGCCTGAGTCCCTCTGTACCTCTCCCCAATTCTACGTGCTTTGCAGTATTAATTCAAATGTTCATAGGATATGAGGAACTCTTTTCTTCTATTCTGAGCCACATACATGTTTTGAGAACCTCTTACGTGTTTGATGTTATCCTGGGTACTATAAAAGATACAAATTATATTGGCTGTTTTATAAGCACTTTATAATCTAATTTTGGAAAGAGAAAACTAGGGGACAATCCATAAAACAAAATTAGGGAATAGTTGATAAATCACGTGTTGAGAAGTTGAATGGGAATTAGAGCAAGTACATATCAGTATGGATTTTGAAGTTTTGGAATACTTTTCATAGTGGAGGTTGAACTTCATTTGGGCCTTGAAGCATATGTTGGATTACATCAGGAAAAGAGAAAATTGAGGAATAATGTGAACAAGCTATGAAGGTGAAAATGTGTACAAATATTTTGCCAGAGTAAAGAAATGGATGACATAGGTTGACTCATTTTTATGTTTTATTTTTATTAGAACTAGCAGTGACAATAATACTCAGTAAGTGCTAACTGCTATTACTTAGGGATTGTGCTAAGTATTTTACCCATATTCTTTAATCTCACTGACCCTCTGAAACAGATTATACTACCCCTATTTTATAAATTAATTGGGGGAAAGCTCTGTAACTTGTCCAATGGCATGTAGTTATAATTAAGCCACAGATGAAACATAAGCACTCTCCAACCTCAAAGCTTGTCTTCTAATTTGGATAGCCAGGGGTTGGTGAAGATATAGAGGGGACTGAAAGCTATGCAGTGTAGTATAGACTTAACACATGAGGCAGCTTGAGCCAAAACGTGATAAAGGAGAGTTTAGCATCCCATGATGGTAGAATGGGTTGTTTCAAAAACACCAGTATGCTGAGAACAGCCAAAAAACACTGGATGAAAATGAAACAGAATTCTGAGAACTGGAAGGCTACCAAGGCAGTGAGGAGCAAAGGAAAGCCCAGAGACATAAGCCTGGCATTTGGAGTTGATTATCTCCCCTAGAGATATCTGTAGGTTCTGAAAGGAGTATCTGATAGGCTAAGCCACACTTTCACAGGTCAACAAAGATAAGGAGACAAAAGGTAGAGTCAGGGGCTACCAAGGGTGGGGATGAGTATTGGTAAAATCCCAGACTTTGGACTGGAACTGTGAAAGGTCAAATCCTGGAAGTGAGGTAAACTGAAAATAAATCAAATCTCAGAGGAATTGAAGCCCAGATTCAACTGATCTTTAACCCTGATTGGATTAAGATAGTCTGAGATTGCTAATGGTAGTAGCCTAACTTCCTTCCTTTCTTTTTTAAATTATTTATTTATTTATTTTTAATCTTTTTTTTTTTTTTTTTTTTTTTTTTTTTGCGACAGAGTCTCACTCTGTCACCCAGGCTAGAGTGCAGTGGCATGATCTTGGCTCACTGCAACCTCCAACTCCCAGGTTCGGGCAATTCTCCTGCCTCAGCCTCCTTAGTAGGTGGGATTACAGGCAAACTCCACCACGCCCAGCTAATTTTTGTATTTTTAGTAGAGATGGGGTTTCACCATGTTGGTCAAGCTGGTCTCGAACTCCTGACCTCATGATCCTCCCGTCTCGGCCTCCCAAAGTGCTGGGATTACAGGCGTAGTAAGCCACCGTGTCCACCCCTAACTTCCTTTCAGAAGTTAAAGTAAATCTTTTCTGGAGGAAGACAACATTATCTAGAGCCACAAATCTCTAGAATTTTTCATATGCATTATCTAGTTTTCTATTAAAAAAACATACATACAAAACATGACTGAAAATCAACAGAAACAAGTGACATTAGAAACAGACTCAAGAAATTCACACACTAGAGTTTCCAGACTTTAAAATAGTCATAATTAATATGTTCAAGGAATTAATTGACAAAATTGAGATTGATTATCTCGGCAAATTATTGGAAGTCCATTTTAAAATGGAAATTCTAGAAGTGTATTGAGAACTCAGTTGATGGGGTTTTACCATCAGAGTAGACATAGCTGAAGATGAATTTGTGAACTGGAAGAGAAATCAGAACTGGAAGAGAGAGTGAGTAGAATATTTAGACTGAAGCACAGAGAAATAAAAGTTTAGAAAATGCAGAAAAGAATGTAAGATAAATATGGGATAAGGTGAAGAATTTTATCATTTGTAATTGGAGTTCCAGAAGGAAAGGAAAGAGAGAAAAACAGGCAGATATAACATTTGACAAATAATGGGAAAAAGTTTTTCAAAACTGATGAAAGATAACAAGCTGCAGATTCAAGAAGCACTACAATCCCTAGGCAAGATACATACACAGAAGACCATACTTATGCTGGAATAGGAAGATATAAAGTTTTGAAGTAGGCTGAGGAAAAAAGATATATAACCTTTAACAGAGTTGACCATGACTTTCAGCTAAGTTATCAATGGAAACAAAGGGAGTCAGAATGCAATGGAAAGAAATCTTTATAAAGTACTCAAAGAAAGTAACTTTCACATACAGTTTTATATCCAGTGAAAAAATTCTTAGGAAATGAAGGTGAAATATTCTAGGAGTTGGTGAGGATATAGTGGTCACCAAAAGCTATGCAGAGTAGTGTAGACTTGATACACTAGGCAACTAACCCATCGTCTTAGTCCATTCAGGTTACTATTAAAAATACCCTAGATTGGATAATTTATAAACAACAAAAATTTTATTGTTTATACATTGGATAGGGCATAAAGAGGAGGGAAAAAAAGCAGGCTCATGCGATTTTCACCCTCAGAGAACAGAAGGAAATTAAATAATATTTAGCAGGTACCAACCTGAGAGAAAA